ACTAGCCTTTACAGTAAGGCTGTCAAAGATCCAGCTACCTTTCTACTTGAGTCTTCCCAAATGGACTTCTTGTTACCCAATTTCAACGAATTTACATGATCACAAGAACTTATCTAGTGTTTGCACTGCCCGATTTGTTGGTTTGCATTCCTTCATATAACTCCAATATTGCATGGATGCCCTATGACCTGCCAGTCATGCTGGTGCAACCACCATTACAGGTATCCTAATCTAATTGTTAGTAATAATTGCTATAATATGAATATTATATAGGTAATTATTCAAATTTTTACTGTCGATGGAATTTGAACACCCAACCTACCACTTGGAGGGTTGACAACCTGACCACTTCACTAGGTTGCCACACCTGATCATACTTGTTTTTTTTGCAAATTTAAAAATATTCAATATGTCTTTACTAACAATTAACAAAATCATATTTCAGATTATATAATAGCATACATCTTTAAAGGCTCTTTAATCTATTACATTTATATACTATATATTCTAAATCTTAAACTTAAAATTAAACCAACTAAACTATTAACTCTACTTAATTTTGACTAAAAGAAAGTAATCTTTATCTACAAACTTAGCATTATGTCTGCAAAAGACAAAATCTAACTATATAAATTTATTTTTTCAAAAAAACTAAACTCTTAATATTTTACTAAAAAACAAAAACAAAAACAAAACTAAACTCTTAAAGATATTTTTAATGATCTTGATTGGTTTAAAAAATTTTTAATTTTTAAAAAAATAAAACATTACATTAAACTTGACAACAAACTAGCTTTACAAATACTTAAATTTATTAAATTATATCTTATTAATATATATTCTAGAAAAATTATTAAACAAGCAACTGAAAATAAACTAGTATCCAAATTTAATTATATGTATCTAATTAAAACTTTAGCTGATCAATATTCTAAATTTCTTACAGACTTCATTTATAAAAATAATTCTTTTATAAACCAATCTTTTGTTATTTCTTTTGAACTTATTTATTCTACTCTTATTGTCTTAAGTATAGCAAAGGACTATTTATAGATAAGCAAATACCAAAAAATGTTTTGGGTTTTGCTCATATGACTATTATCTAATCAGCTTTTAAAATATACAAAACAATTATGCATGCAATACATTATTAACAAATAAATCGATCTGTAACATGTTATGTTGATTATTGCTGATTATAGCCAATAAAATTACAAGATTATATGTAACTTAAATAATTTGAAAATTTACTATGATAACCAGTTTGATGAGTATATATAATGTTAACATTAAATATTGAACATCAATAAATTAAAGCCTAGATCTTTACACTTATACTCTTTTGATTTGTTGATTAACATAGCCTGTTACAGATTTCAGATATACAATCATTACTAGTTTGAATTAGTAAACCAAAAAAGCATTATAACTTCAATATAATAAATATAACTTTTTAATCTCGATATAACAAAACTATTAGTAAATTTAGATATAATGAATTCATTATATCGAGGTTATAACTGTTTATTAATTAATAAATTATATACTTACTCTAAACTCTCTTATAAGTTTTTTTATTATTTTATTTTTACAGTAATCTATTTTTTATTTTTATTAATTTTTCTTCTTTATTAATTCACTCTTGTAATCTTTTGCAGCTTTTTATTCATTGTAGTCTTTCAAAAATAAAAGAATTCAAGAGAACATCATCAAGAGAATAAACATGAGTTAGTGCTACAAAAGATAGTCTGGTGGCAAAGTCTTTTTTTTCTAGATTTATAGTAGCCTTTAGTAATGTCAAATCTGCAATTTGTGCACTGTTATAGCCCAAGAAAGCAAGAATGAAATCTATAAACAGAAACATATTTTATTCTTACTCTCCCAAGTATACAAAACCAAAACAATTGGAATAGCCTGAGTTCTTTTTGATGTTCTAACAGAGGGACCATGATATTTATCAAAAGAAACCAAAATAGCAGTAGGTAGAGAAGTGTTGCTTTGTCTATTTTTGAAAAGAATATCAACCACAGTTCTCATTGTGCTATTCATGAGTCTAGCAGACATCTACAAATTAGCATTAAGCATAATATAAGCTTTCTTTGCCAGTAATAAAACTAGTTCAAGACCTTCTGCAACATCTGAATCAGCTTTTACTGCTTCTGAACTACTTGTATTAACAGCACAAATTTTAATAACAAACTGATTTAATAAACAGAGTTTAGCTAAGTTAACTGTGTCAACTTCATTCTATGTTGTAAAAATATTAATAGATTGTGAAAACTGATTTCTTTCTAATTTAAGCAGGTTTTTTGGAATTCATGATATTAAAAGTTTTTAATCAAATTGAATGGATTCACTATTATGTAGGCATAATAAAAGATCTCTAAATTTGCATTGTTTGTCTGAATTACTAGTCTGTCTTTGCACAATCTTGAGCCGATATGTCTCCTGAAATTGACTATAAGCATTACATCCATCTTTGGATAAAGAATTTAATAGATGAAGGTCTCTAGAGTATATTGGAAGGTCACCTACTAGGGGAAGTTGTCCAAAATCGCCAACAAAGATAAATGAACATTTGCCAAAAGGTATGTTATTGTAATCCAGAAATGTCTGATGTAACTGCAGGTTAATTAAGACTAAAAATAATATTCTACCATACTAATTTTATCTATAATAAGATATTTTATGTCTTGTAGCTTATTTTGAAGCATTTTAAGTTTATTTTCTTCAAGGTAAAAATTATTAAATGATATAGGAATTAAGAATATTGAGTGAATAATACTGCCTTGAATATTAAAGGCTATGACACCTGTTGGAGCAAGTACAAGAATAGGTAGACTTCCTTTTTGTAACAAATTATTATTTTTTGTTATCTCATATATATATATTTTTTTTTTGGCATTAAGATGAGGCCTTGCTTATATCTTTATTAATAATTTAAAATAGTTATATATATATATGCTATGGTTGAGGCCAATACTTGCAGTCAGGACTAACCATTAAACTGCTAACTATATAGCTACTATTATTTGTACAAAATAAATAAATTGAAAATTACATGCAAGAATAAAAGCTCAGACTAGTTTATCTATAACCTAAATCTACTAAAATGATCAAATCTCATCTAGATTTAAATGTTTAATATATAATTTGATGATATACTATATTTGATCCATAAGATGGACCAAATGTTAATTTTGCAAATTGCTTGGCCAATAGGAGGGCATGTATTTAAGTAAGAATGTAATTAATTGGAAAGTTTACAAAGGCATAAGTAAGTGTAATCTCTTCGAGAGTGAATGTGTTTTCTAATTGGATTGGAAGATCTTGAAGGTTGGTTAATTGATTGAGGTTGGGATTTGTTTTGTTGATTTTTCTAATTGAAGAAGTGAATACAATATGTTTTTTATAGTTGCTCATATGATTGTTCATTAATATTAAGAAAAATATCAATAATAACTTGAAAGGCTATTTTGTATGAAATATCAGAGTTTTGAATTGTTAATATAAGAGACTTTGAAATAAGTTCTTTAAGAGTAAGATTGGAATAGTAAGTATTAGGTAATGTATATAGAAAATTAAGAGCTAGATGATAAAGAATTTTGTTAATTAGGTTATGTTTATGGTTAGTGTCAAAATCAGGCAAGTTATTAGAAGTTTGAATAATTTGATTGAGTAAGGATGGATTAGTACAAGTGTGCTAGTAGGAATTGGAATTAGATAAGTTACAAAAAAAGCAAGTAGTATTTAGATATTGGCTTGAATAAATAGTATGATATAGTGAGTATGTTGGCAATTCATTAAGAAGGATTTTTGTTTTAAAAAATTTTAGTTAATTAAGTATAAAGTTAGTAATATTGTATAAGGGTTTTTGATTGTGATTGAAATAAAGCCAAGTGAATCTTCAATCAATGTCTTGATTGAAGTATAACCACTCACTGTTTCATTTTTGTGATGCCATATAGCTAAGATGTGGGCTTTACAGATTTGTTTAATGAAGTGCCTTGTAGGAAGTTCTATATAATGGTGTTCCTATTGGAGAATATGATAAGGATTGTTAAGGTTTGTGTAATTAAATAAAAGAAGTAATGACAATAGATGTTGTTTAGCAAGAGAGTCTGCTTGCTTATTAAGATAGTTATTTAAATAAATTTGTACTTTGTGAAAGGTAATTTGTAATTTGAATGATTTAATAATGTTTAGAAAAATGTACCAAATTGGCTATGAATTGAATTTGAGTAACTTGTTAGGATAGATTGACTTAAGTTGAAGATTATTAAATTTAGAGATTACTGATTGAGAATCTGTAAAGATATTAATAATACAGTTTTAAAGAGCAGTTAAGATTGCAGTAATGATTGAAAAGAGTTCTGCTTTGTAAGATGAAGGCCAAAATTTAATTTTAGCAGAGAAGGAATTAATAATTTGATTGTTATTGTTAACTTGAATCCAACCAATACTTATTGTGCATTGATCAGTACCAATGTCAATTACAAATTTATTAGTATAGAAAAATAGTTGCTAATAAGAGAGATTGTAATGTGAGATAAATATAAGTTTGTTAGTAGATTTGCTTGGAATAAAGATTTTAAAGGCAATAGAGTTGATAATAGAGATATTAGATGAAGGAGGAATGTGTGTTGGATGTTTGACAGCTATAGAGCAAATAAGATCCAAGTAGTTGGCATTGAGGTTAAGTTGGTGTTTTGAATTAGTTTTGCTAAGAAATTGTGTAAAAATAATTGCAGAAACTTCAACAGTACAGGTTTGGTTAATTTTATGAAAATTAAGATGGCATTCTGTATATTGTTTGTAGTTGACAGGGGGTAAAGAATAAAATCTTGTGTAGTTTAAGTCTATATTAGAGATCCAATAAGTAATAAAGTAGTAATTAGAAGATGAAAAATATTTTCATATTTTCCCAATAATAATTTCATCATTGTAATATGAAAGTAGCCAGAGTTTGGAAGGTAAGATAAGAAATAAAAGAATGAGTACTACTAGTTCAGCTTGTATTGAGTTTGGTATGAGGTTTATAAAGGTATTAAATTTAATTTGTGTATTATTTTTCAGAATCTAGGCTATGCCAGTAAAGATATTGTATGTTTGTGAATTAAGTATAGAACTATTTGTATAAAAATGTATGTTAGTTGGTTTAAAAGATAGTAATTTTTTATAAAAGTTTATGAGTTGATTTTGATATATATGATCAGTTATTGTGTTTTGTATTAGAAGGATTTCTGAAGAGAGTAGTAAAAGAGATGATAGAGATTTTGGAGCTGGTTTATATAGGTCTGCATAAATGTTTTGAAATGCTTTGATTTCTTGATTATTTATAATGAGTTCAAAGTTTTGTTTTTTTTTTTGTGTTTTGCATTTAAGATTAATAGTTTATTTGTAATTTATTTAAAGCATTGTTAATATAGAAGAAATATAAATTGCATTAGTTGTTGAATTCATAATTTGATATTTTTGAAAAAGTACTTAAAAGTTAGATATATTGATTATTTTGCCAATATGCTAATCTGAAAATAAAATATAAAGTAACTATATATTTTTTGAGTAGCAAATTAGAATATAATGTATTTAGAAATGGATTAGTAGGTTGGAGTTAAAGATTAGGCCATATATGCAAAATAGAATGATTAGATATTTGATTTAAGAATATTTTAAACCATTTTGAAGTAGAACCTCATAGGAGTTTGAGAGTTCTGAGATATATATTTTTTCAAGAAAAAAGATTGTGATTATCAGCTGTAAGTAATTGTTCTAAAAAAAGAATTCTATTGTTTTTAAGGTTTAGAGTTGCTAAGTTGTTAGAAGTTGCAATGAAATTATAAATATTGTTCAGTTGGTTAGTATGTTTGTAGATTGTTTTTTTTTTTTTTTGAATTTAAGTCTCTGTCTATGGGAGTTGATGTTTTTATTCATGTATTTGGACACAAGTGCCTTCAGAGGCTCCCTTATATTGGAGGTTACAACTAGCTACATATGCACTTTTGGTGCCTAATTTAAGTAGTCCACCTATATATTACTATATAGGTTCTACACTAGGTGCCATACCTGCAAGCCAACTACAAGTCTTGCCTATTTAAACTTTTTACATATGTAGTCCACTATGTCTTACAGAGACATCTTTAAGGCTACACCCATTTAAAGTATCCAATGCCTTCAAGTATCCTTAGAACTAGTTTATTCTCGACAGGAAACTTACTAGAACCTTTTATGTTCTACATACAGCTGATCTAATTTTATGTGACATATTATAGTTACCTAACACTTGCATTCACAGAGGTTATCTGTTTAACCACTATGTTACACTATTTCTACTCTTGTAAAGTTCACTAGAACCCCAGTACCTATTATCATGATGTCTTCTCTATTATCCCTTACTAACTACTACTCAGAACTGACAGGACTCCTCTGACTTTCAATTCAGATAGCCTGATATGGTATACTTATATATTCTTTTCCTCTGGTGATTTCAGCAACTTGGTTAGTCATATGCTCTTCTACATATCTTGACATTTGGTTTATTCACCTATCTCTTTGGAGATGTTTTATGGGCTTTCATTGATCTGACTGTACTGTTAAAAGTTCATGCTACCTCTTTACTCAGAAATTTCCAAATAGGCTTTCAACTCTTCAGTTCCTTAGTTTACTGTGCTTAGTAGTCTTATCATGGGTTTGCACCAAGTCTTATGTGATACTAGTTATTAACATTCCTCTATGTATGTATATATTACACTTGGCATAGATGCCCTAAGCTCTCATTTGAAATAGTGTAACTTAAAGTTACAGATACACAAATCCAACTAATCATCAAGAGACAGTTTGCCATAATACAGGTTAATTTCCAAATTTCATCATAGGTGGGATTTGAACCTTAGACCTGCCACTTGGTAAATGACAACCTAACCACTACACTAGGATTGCCATTCTCTTGTAGATTGTTAATTGATTAGATAAGTGTTATTAATAGAAATATTATTTTTGTATAGGTAATGAAGTTGAAATATTATAATGTAGTTGGT